AAAAGCATCCTTCGAAATTCCTGTAAGAGAGAAAACACCACTAGACAAAGATTGGTCCTGGTAAGATAAATTCAAATAAGCCTCTTTGCACTGTAGTACGACTAGACTTTTCTTCGCACACATAGCTCGCCTCACCTCCCTTTCCCTCACATTCTCTTTTCTTTTCACTCTCTCACTTTTTCTCATTAGAGCCTCATTTATTTTTCTTTTGAGCCTTATTTCTCTTGTTTTTTCTTCTTTCTCTGAATATTCCTCATAAGCCCCTTTGACCTTTAGTTCGTCCTCATGTACTTCTCGTGGTGACAGAGGTGTGAAGACATGGGTAAGGCTGTCCTTCTGCAATGAATAGTGGTTGGTGTGACCGTGGTGTTGTACTTGCCTATTAAACTGTTAAGGTCTGTTAAGAATTACGTGGCTGAAGTGCATAGGCACAACATCACAACATACTTCATCCTTATACTTATTGATAAAGAAGAGTATCATAACTTGTTTGGTTACTTTCACTTCACTATATTCATCTAGCCACTGTAACCAGTAGGGGTTATGATAGTTTGCGCACGCCAATCCCAACCACTCTGTAAACAGGGTGCTGGCCACATTAAAACAACTTCCTCCATCATGATCATACTACACACCTTGTCATTGACTAGACAGTAGGTGTGAAATATGATCTCTCGTTGTTCATGGTCCTCGCTTTTAACTTGCAAGTTAAGAACTCTTCGGAGAACAAGGGTATTAATTTTTTGAGACATAATGAAGTACTTACAGAAAAGGTTAGTGAAAGCAAATAAACTCTCCCTCACCTTTACTTCTGTTTACCTCACAATCTCTCAAACTATAGCTTCTTCTGTCGCGTTGAGCATTCGGAATCAGATTCATTTTAGATCAGGATCTACAATGTCTTTAACACAACAAAGAATCCTAAAAGAATATGATTTATACAGAAGCTCATAAACAAGCACACATAAAAAGAAATGGTGCACTTTTATTTATATACTAAGCAAGTAGAAACGATTAGTCACTTAGATATGTGATGGAATAAAAACATAATAAAATGATAGAAATGTAGATAATAAAGAAGACACGATAGGCTTATAGTGTAGGGATCTAATCAATCCCGATGGATATAACCGGAAGGTGTATCCTAATTATACTATCTAATGTTGGCTACAGTCTACGGGTGATCAAGTTTCTTCGTGCAACGTTAAGCCAAAATTCTGGGATGCAAAATATAAAATTAAATGTGAAGCATAAAGGTTTTTGCTCACAACAAGTGAGTTAATCTTCCTTTTACTTTATGCAAAGGCAGAGGCACTCATACCTGATGAATTATACAGTCTTTCCTTAAAATTTCAAAGGTGATTGTCATATTTATTAGACAACTAATTTTTTCTTTAGATGCAAAATGCAAACAGTGTGCCGATTGCCTTCTAGGTGCAATTGAGATATTTTTAGATTTCTGATTTTATATATTTTTTTACTATGATAGAAACAAAAACACTTGAATTAGATAGATAGTTATGAATTCAAGTGGGATGCAATACGAATTAACAATCAAAATAAATTTGAATATTAATTAATTCATAATAATGCTAAAACAATTAAAGATAAATAGGTTCACTAGGAGTTTGAGCTCTGATACCACCTGATGCAGGACGGTATGTGAAGGATCATTTTAACTCCTAGAACCTCAACCCAACGCATGCAATACAGAAACTTAAATGTTTAATTAATCCCTCCCTCAAATTGAATCAACAACCAAGGATATAATATGTAAAAATAAGAATTAGGGAATAAAAATGAAAAAAAGAAAGATGCTACAGATTTACCCGATAAGTTAATTCCAACTTATCGACTCAATAAAATTTCAGAAAGATTCCTAACTTTAAAGAACTTAAAGAAGTAAAATTAGCACAAAGCTAATTCTAAAGAAAAGCTCAAAGCTTCGATATTATTGATAAACTGAATTATGTTTATAAAGCTTGAACTTAAGTCTTTATATATGGTTTTATTTATATTTTTACTTGGAATAGGATTTGGGATTCCTATCCAAACTTTATGATTTAATTTAAGTAGAAAATAATTATTTAAATAATAAAATAATAGAATCTTATCCTAAACTTAATTTAAATACATAAAATAATTCGGATAAATATTAAAATAATATTTTTTTCCTATCCAAATATTCAAGGATCTTTATCTTCTTTAAACTTCAATTTTGAATAGAAATCTTCATCTAATTCGGCATATTAGTCACATGGTATGATTGTAGAAACTTAGAAAACCTTGTATACTTAGGAAAGTCCAACTGCATGGGTGAGCTGCTAGGTGCGCGAGTTGGGCTACGAGTTGAGCAGATAGGCTATACGGACCGCGTAGGTTGGTTGGGTGGGCTTGAGTCATTCACACGGGGCATTGGGTGTGCAACTAGCCACCTGCGCACATGCGCGTTGTTGCGTGCATTCTCTCTCACACGTGTGATGGTGTGTACACGTGCTGGAAACACGTTACGTGCGTGGCACGTGTCATGCCCTGACTTTCTGGACCAAACTACTTCTTATGAGCTTTCTCTTAGGCTTCGACAATGAGCTCGTTGTTTATCCATTCTCAAACTAAAAAGTTGAACTTGCTCTAAAATTGCTTGGTCCAGCTTTTGGTAATCGATCCTGGGGATAATTAGATCGACTTCCTATCGGTCCTATCTCATTACGAACTTTTTGAGACGACTTGTCTTTTACTTGAGTGTCTGAGATCATATTATTAACCATAAAGAATAATCAATTTCACAATAGATCAATGTATGTTTTTGTTAATTTATTTATTTTTTTGTTCTCATTAAATTGACATGAAAGATAATTTTGTGTTTTATAAATTTATTTAAATCCAACAAATTAAACTTATATTAAAATAAAATTTATTACAAAAATTTCTATTAGATATTGAATAAAAAACTATATTAAAATTAAAAATATCAAATTAAAGTTTTATTGAAATTAAAATATATAATTGAATTAAAAATTTTCCTAAAATTACAATACTTGAACTGGGAAGGCAAAAAGGTAAATATGAGTCATTGTCGGGGAAATTACTGCAGTGAGCAAAACGACGTAGTTGCATGCACAAAAGTGGTGGGCAGCGCCTCATAGTCCAGCTAAGCTTGCGTTGGCAAACATCATTATCATTTGC